ACGATGAGTTCAGCGGCACCTCTCAGCATCCATTTGACATCAAACTCTAAAAATAATAAAAATAGTTTTAAGCTGTTTGATCTTTTATGGGGTTAATCATCTTTTATATTTTTACAGAAAGTGACAATGAAATAAAGAAAGAAAGCCTGTAAGACTTAAAATAAGGTTTATGATGCTTACTTTTATTGTTCGTATGTTTTCAATCACTTTTCAAATTGGTGACATGGTGGCTTGTCTCCTCTCTTACTGTCAAAGATCCCGGTGCCCAAAGAAGACCATCATTGGTTAGTGTTACCTCCAAAGTGCCTTCTGATGTTAAGACATGTTTATTGCAATGTTCAACAGTGCAAATGAAAGGACAAAGCTGGCATTAGTTAAGTTAAATATTTGTGTCTGACTTCTTCTTCTTGCTCTGATAAGACTTGTTATTAATGATGTGATCACTTAAGAGCTGCTCTGAAATGTAAACTCAACTGTTAAAGCAAGTGGGTGGATTTCAACGAGGTGCAACTGTTACCTGTCTTCACCTTATGCTCTATAACATTACAGAGGCAATGAGTTGGCACCATGTCAATCCCCAAAAGGAGATGAGGTTCAATATTTGGTTTAGTTTACAAGTATACCGTGCACTAACAAGTACAACTACTGAACATGCAGTATATTCAACGTTGTACCCCTCTCAGATTCTCCAACATTGAACAACCTGTAAAGTATAACATTCAATTGGGAGAAGATATGAAAGTGCGTCCAGAGGTCTGGTCACATATCGAAGCTAACACGTGGGACTCTCTCTTCGTGAAAGAGTTGGCAGTGGCAGTTTGGGGCACGAAGACGCTTCGGGAAAGGAGCCAGGGAAGCAGTGCCCGAAGTCCACCCGGCAGCCTTTAACCCCAAAGAAGCTCACATCTGTGAAAGGTATGGCAATCTAAGAGCACTAATTTCCATTCCATTTATTTAAGAGACATAACATACAAACTCAGTAGTATACAAAGCTCTATAAATAAGACTGTTCGTTTTAATTGAAATGTCACTAGTGGAGATGACAGGTGGCCACATTGTGATTAATCTCAGAGTGTTATGAATGATACAACAATTACTTAAAAAGGACACCATTTGCAAACTTTCAGGATCATTTGTATTTAGTGTCTCATTGAGGGTGGTTCGTTTTGGGGTTTTTCTTTCCTGTAGTGTGTTATATAGGTTCTTGTGTAAACAATATTTAACAAGAAATTAGCACATTAGGGCCCCTTAAAGAGGAACAATTAAACATGAAAAAGGAGAAAATGAGTCCAGGGGAAAGAGAGACACCGGACAGTTTTACCATGATGACGGCTCATTACTCATTTAGCATTGTAATCCCTCTCATACAGGTTTGGGAAGTTGCATGGATACATTCCATCAGCGGACTTCACAAGGAGACATTTTTGTTCAAGATCATCAACTGGAACCAAGTGGATCAAGGTACCTTCATTTCCCCTAAAGATATGAGGCACAAAACCATAACCCTGTGGAAGGGGGAAGGACCTAGTCTGTGTGTCCAAAGGTTTGAAGAACATGGCCATTTCTGCTCCTGCTTCTGAGCTCAATGATATTATCTGCTCCATCTCCCCAGAGCGTCCATCTGTCAGACTTACACAATAATCATTGCGTCTTTTGGCGCGGGTATAGTTTTTACTTGTGTAGACCAAACCCTTGTGTGTCATTCTGTTGTGAAGAAGAATTGTAATCGGTGGTTCTATCAATGCTGTGAGGAAGGCATTCCTTTCGTGTTGTGTGAGGTGTTTGATCTTTCCATCATCCAAAACTGTTGTGTCCTGGTAGCGTATACATTTCTGTATTTCTCTGTGTTGTACCACAACACAGAGAAATACTGATAGAAATGTGTGTGTAGTTGTTGATACATTGCTGACAGAGGGAACTACATTTGAATACAGATTTAAGAAATATCAGTCTTTGAGCATGTAATAAGCATGTTTAGTTTTGACTATATTACAACTATATTATAATAAAATAATATAGTATTTATATTATTGAATTGATTATTATTATTAGTAGTAGAAGTAGTTTATTTGCATTAATTATATTTTAATCTTTTTGAGGCTAGTATTTTCACTATATTCATTCTGTAGTGCACTATTAAGATCAGAACATATCTTAAGTCTGCTTGAATGATGGATTTCTTGTCTGCATTGGTCCAGGAGATCATCAACCTCCCAAAGATGCCACTACAAAAACCTGCTCTGGAGATGTTGTAATTTCTCCACAAAAGTGAGTTACAGGAACTGTACCCAAATCTCTGGATTGCCCTCGGCATTGCAGTAACTCTTCCTGTTACAGTTGCGTCTGCTGAGAGAAGCTTTTCCAAACTGAAGCTTATGAAGACGTACCTCCGGTCGTCAATGGCACAAGAACGCTTAAGTGGCCTGGCTATCATAAGCATCAACGCACAGTTGGCACAGCAGCTGCCATACGATGACCTTGTCGATGACTTTGCATGCAGGAAATGCAGACGTATTCACCTGTAAACGCATACTGAACGACATACATGCACATTTACCATTTACCTCACTGTATAAAAAAGTAACTGTTGATAAGAATTATATTTGCAAAGTACTTTGTTTCCCACATTTTTTTCACTCCTGTCGGTGGGGGGGCTCATCTCACAATGTCGCTTGGGGCCCCAAGTTGGCCAGAGACGTCCCTGACTGAGGACCTGACATGGACTCATCACCGAGGACCTGACATGGACTCATCACCGAGGACCTGACATGGACTCATCACCGAGGACCTGACATGGACTCATCACCGAGGACCTGACATGGACTCATCACCGAGGACCTGACATGGACTCATCACCGAGGACCTGACATGGACTCATCACCGAGGACCTGACATGGACTCATCACCGAGGACCTGACATGGACTCATCACCGAGGACCCGACATGGACTCATCACCGAGGACCCGACATGGACTCATCACCGAGGACCCGACATGGACTCATCACCGAGGACCTGACATGGACTCATCACCGAGGACCCGACATGGAGTCATCACCGAGGACCCGACATGGACTCATCACCGAGGACCCGACATGGACTCATCACCGAGGACCCGACATGGACTCATCACCGAGGACCCGACATGGACTCATCACCGAGGACCTGACATGGACTCATCACCGAGGACCTGACATGGACTCATCACCGAGGACCTGACATGGACTCATCACCGAGGACCCGACATGGACTCATCACCGAGGACCTGACATGGACTCATCACACAAACACCATCACCAAAACAGCTCGACAGCGGCTCTTCTTCCTCCACAGGCTAAGGAGGTTCAACATGGACTCCAGGATACTCTGCAACTTCTACGGAGTATCCTGACTGGTAACAATAATAAGCCATAAACCACAATGGGCTCTGATTATGAACCAATAAACCAATATTAAACAAGTCTCTGCTTTGTTGTTATACATATCAAATAGAGCCGCACTAACCCTGTCTGACGCAGCGATGAGATGAAACTGATACTGCCAGTTGCAAGTCTGTAGCAAGGATGTTTGCAGAGTGAAGTCCTACACTGCCCTCTGTTGGTGAAGCTGCGCCACTCTCAGTCCTACGGTGACAAAAAACCACCTTCAACTGAAACAAAGTTAAACAAAAATCCATGTTGGTTCTTAAACAGTGTGAACAATTGGCAAATGCTAAGCTAAGCTAAACATTGAAGGATAAACACTGGCAATTAAACAGCAGCAGTTGAACCTACAAAAGGTGGGGGGTAAAACAATTCACCATGCTGCACACAAACAATTCATTTGAATGTTTTGGACCTATTCACCACAGCAGGTGTGGGTAATTAACAAATCACTGGTATCCTGGACAAACAGAGGCCGTTTCTCAATCGCGAGGATGCTTGCTTGGTAGCACATGTCTTCCGAGTCACTTCCTTCAGAAGCTGGCAAGAATCCTTCCTGGCATTCGGAAAACGAAGAGTGGAACAGGCTAGCAAGTGTGCAGGTGTGCGTCATATGATTCTGTTTTCTTCTAGTTTGTATCTTGTTGGTCGAATGCACTTATTGTAAGTCGCTTTGGATAAAAGCGTCAGCTAAATGTAATGTAATGTAATGCAATGTAGTGCCTACCTGTACCACCAACCATGACTCAGCAAAGAGGGAACAAAGGCCCACAGGTGCCTTTTATAGCAGAACCTGATTGGGGGAGGAGTCTGGATCTGCGTTCAACAACACTGCCCTGTTGTGGAGTGTTATGGGTAACAGCAGATCCAGACTACACACTGCACCACAGTGTGAAAGTGTTATCATTGTGCACTTCCTGCCATTCCTGCCTAAGCGTGCATGAGGTGATTTGCTTGACAGTTTATGTTTGAATAATAATAGTAATATATTGTATGTATTTATGTATTGGGGCAGCGATGGAGAATACTCCAGTTGACCCCTCCGTGCAGTTTCAATGCAGGTACTGTCTATTTTCTGTCACAGTTATCATCGTATCTCTGTGAGCTTCCAGCTTTTGGTTTTTAATATCGGAGACAACACACACAGAACCAGGGACCCTGTTGCTACATCGGCCTCGGTGAAGGAAGGTAGAGATGGCTTGAAATGAGGAGTCAAAGGGATTAAATGAGACAGACCTGGGTACAGCTCTTTTCCTTGTAATTGGTCAGCAGCTTGGACCAGTCCATTGAGCACAGACATGATGCTTTCACTGGAGAGGAGGAGGAGGGTAACCTTTATCAACTGACAGCTGTTAGTGCAGTGGCTGTGAAGAATGATGTCTGTTATCTCATGAACCCTATCACTCAAGGTCATTCGGAGTCAATGGCTGTGTGACACTGAGATGACCAACCAGTGAAGCATGGTGTCTGGAGCAGACACTTCAAACAACCCAAAGGTCACTGAATTACAATTCATCAATGTTATTTTATAAATGCTTTTGTTTAACATCAGTCAAATCATTATGATGCATGGTTACCATACTGAAAAGACAACTGAACCTGTGATCCACTCGACATATGACATTGGCAACACTGAGACACATTTGTATTAGCTAGTTTCATTTGTTTGATCAACATAGTGTTCCAGGAGAGGGTTTGACCAAAGATGACACCAGCATAATTGATGTATGTGGAATCAGGAACAGTTGAGACATCCTTGATTGATAGAAACATGTTTGCAAATGTAGGAATCAATGTTCAAAGCTTCATGAAGTGATGTTTGACCACAAGATGGCAGAAAGAGGCCTGATAGATCATCAATGTATCAATGATATCCAACCCATTAGCATATAACTCCCTGTATCCAGCAGACAGAGAAATGTCTGTGTTACGCTGGACTATTGGTTGTGCTGTGTTACATGACCTGATAGTGACAGTAGAGAACCAGGAGAAAGAGGACAGAGACATGCACACATGCAGAAAGGTAGGAACACTGCATCTCCTGGCGTCTCAACCACAGAAGGACCCGGTAGGGAGCTTCTTGCTTTCAAATGACTGCATATTCATTATCTCCAGGTTTATAGAAGTGGTGCACTGAAGCTCACAGTCTGTTATGAAGAGTGTGAAAGCTGTGGAGCTGCTGAGCTGTTACTACACTTTCCAAGTCTATCGTCAGCATTTAACCCTTTGCTGTTTCCATTAGTCATCTGATTCAGTGTTTTTGTAAAACAGAATGAAACAGATATTCAATTTCACATTGAATTGAGTTAGAACAGCTGACCTGGAGCTAGCAGAGTGTGATTCTCTTCATGTATTGAGAACAGGAATCATCTGTCCTCTTCCCATCACAGCAGATATCAATCTACAGACCTAATGTAGGACGCAGCGCAATGCACCTTTAAATCATTTCTCAGTCCTTTAGTATTTCCAGTGTGTAATGTTAAATAATAGATTACAGCTATTTGAATTATTCACTGTTAGCTTGACATGGCTGTTCAGTTTGAGAGCAGTCGGTTAAGCTGCTCCGTGGTTATGACCTGATTTAGTTTATTTGATTGTAAAATAATGCATCTCTTTGTAAACACAGCACACATTTGTGTTTTCTCTTCACACTAAGGACACACAGATCTCAGCATTCATTGCAAATGTGAAAATGATAACATATTTATATGAATGTGACAGGTAGTCAATTAGCTTTGGTGAAATGCACTGTTGTTATTAAATGTGACTCTGGTACAGTTCATCTCATAATATGATAAATGAACAGTTCTTCCTGAAGCTGGATAATAAATCCACTCAAATAAACTCAGCAAGATCAGCGAAGATGAATCTGCGTTACAACTTTAACTAACATTGCCTTGTTAAACTGAATGAAAATATGCTTCAAAGAGACACAGTTACAGACATCTTAGGCTAGAGGAGACCAAAGTGAACTTTAGATTTGAAAAGATGCATTTCATTTGGTCAGAGGGTGGACAGGGTGAAGGACCTGAAGAGACAAACATGGATTGGTTTCAATAGCAAACATTTATTCAAATCCTTTGGACAACACAATGTTTGACATCTACCCTGATCAACGTGCTCTGAATGCTCAGTGCTAGCTTGAAGTTACACATGGTCACGTTGTGTTATACAAAAACGTAACCATTGAGCTTTGAAATGTTTGAACTCAGATGATGGTAAGTGCCGCATAGAAATCAAACAGCTGATCACAGTATCAGAAAACTTTAATGATTGATCCAGGGACAACACAAGAGGCTACACATGCAGAGAGCATCCATCCACAGCTCGACATATTCATCTACATTTCTACCCACGTGTACATCACTCTTTGATTTCAAATCAGACAGTTCTCTTAAACAATACCATATCATTGTTCACGTCATATCTGCTCTTTTCCTATCCAATCCATACTTTATATAAGATATGTTATTCTGGTGGCTTTCTTGATGTTTCTCTGTGGCATCCTAGGTGCAGTATGGACAGTATAAGGCTTTGACCTGTACTGTGCACACTACATCGTGTCAGATCCGCCTCATAAAGAAGTCTGTTACAGGCTCACATACACAGTACCATCTGCTGCACATAAACAGTCAGTCTTGTCCTGTAAAGATTTAGATGATTCTTGAATAAATGAGTGCTGTATTGTTTCAGAGGGTAGCTGTTATGTATTGCACATCATAAGACATTGTTAGTCACAAATGTGGTCCTCTTTGAGACTTTGAAAATGTTGCTCTAACCCTACTTGGCATTGCTCCCCCGCCCCCCCCCCCCCCCCGTCCTCTCATTGCTCCCCCAAATCACCTGTGTTTCATTAACCATGTTTGAAACACTTCTCTCAGCGGCTGACGTGAAGCTGAATCTGAGCGACTAATGCACTGCAGAGCTCTTAATATAGAAAGTGAACTCTGCAGAAACACACACTCATTCAAATGTTTCCTTGACTCTTTATCTGTTCCCCTCATGCAGACGCTTCTAAGAATGGATGTCAGTTTATTGGCTCGTCGTCGTCGTCCAACATAAACACACCGCCCACTATCTGAAGATATAATTGTTCATTATGTAAGACAGGCTGAGACGACTTCCTCTCTAAACTACTACTGTGGACGCTTGTGGATTAAAAAGTGATGTTTTAATACAAAGAAAGTCCCATTTAGACTTTTAATATCCGACTAAAGTGGATATCTGTGGGCTTCTGACTGACAAAGGGGATGCAACTACCCTTTCATTTCATCATTTAGTAACCCATTAGTCAGGAAATGGTGAAAAGTCTCCATCCCAGTTGCTCAGAGTCTGGAAAAGGCTTTAGAAGTTGTTCATAGCAGTACGTTTCTTCATGTAGAAATCTCAGAAAAAGCCGTTTTCAGCCCCGAAATATAGACATTTCCTCCATTATCTGTTTAATATCATACTAAGTGAATATGTGTGGGTTCTGCACACACAAGACATTTGAAGACAGAAACGTTCATTTTGACATTTTTGCTCTTTTTCTGACATGAAACCATTAATCTATAATTAAAGCACTCGTTAGCTGCATCCCCCTTTTCTCAAAATAAGATATAACGTGCATACCCCCAGATAAAACACCCTCACACCGTCTCCTCTGAGGGGGGGGGGGAGTTCAGTAATCTCAGCTCATTGTTCCAGAACATTTCCGACCCTCGGAGGAATTCGTCCTGCAGGAAATATGGTTTTCAGGAACAGACCCCCCCCCCCCCCCCCACTCCCCCACCCTCACCCTGTGATACCCTTTACCCCCCCTGAAGTTAAGATGAAGTTATGACCCCCCGCCTCACAGTGGGGGGGCCTTTGATCATCCTAATGACTTAAGTATAATTAACTTCTGCTTGTCTTATATTGTACTTCTTAAATATATATGTTCACATATATTACACAGCAGTATTCATGTGTTAATACGCCCACTTTTCAAATAAAGTCAGTCAATTAAAGTTGGAAACATGTTCTAACAAATCTAAGTTGATAAGAAAAAAGCCCAATAACTTATTTACTAGGGCTGTCAAGTTGTCAACGCAAAAAAAAATTAACGCCACTAATTATTTTAACGCGATTAACGCATGTGTATTTTTTGTCCTCGGCCGCCGTAGTTTCAGAGCGCATCGAGTGTAAAATACCATCGACAAGCTGATGCTGACAGCCTCGCTCCTGCCGCCCGCTTGTGGCAGACCACACTTCCACGCTCACTGGCAGGCCCGGACTGGCCATCGGGAGGACCGGGAGGGAGTGTGTATGTGTGGCGCGACTCGCGCGAGCGAGGCACACCTTACGTGTTGTTGTTGTTAGCATCTGGTGCTAGCTAGCTGCGCTAACGGATATAAGGAGCTGTTTTCAATGACATTTCGCCGGACAACTGCGCCGAGCACTGACGTTATGCAGGTAGCCAGACAGTGGGACATTGTACGAAAAGTCAGCACACTCAGCACGGATGTACGCGCAACATGATTGCAGCGTCCAGGCAGCTCCCATTCGAGCATATATGCCTTGAGCCACACTAGAGCGCAACGATCATCACAGTGGGCCGCGCGCCACACACACACACACACACGACCACACAACACACACACACACACACACTACACACACAACACACACAACACACACACCACACACACCACACACACACACACACACACACACACACACACCACACACACACACACACACACACAACACACCACACACACACACACACACACACACACACACACACACAGCACACAACACACACACACACACACACACACACACACACACACACACACACCACACACACACACACACACACACACACACACACACACACACACACACACACACACACACACACACCACACACACACACAATTATTGTTATGAGAGGGTTCCAGGTTTGAATTGAGGAGAATATTTGTAATGTTCAGGTTGTTGTGTTTAATATTCATGAGAATATTTGTCATTGTTCAAATGATAATAAACAAACATATAAAGCATATTTGTCCACTCATATGTTGATAAGAGTATTAAAAACTTGAAAGATATCCCTCTAAGGTACATTTAGAACAGATAAAAAATGTGCGATTAATTTGCGATTAATCGCGATTAACTATTTTAATCGACTGACAGCCCTATTATTTACACAACAACCTTGAAATCAACCCTTCATATTTCCTCTCATTATCAGAAATCTGAAGTTTCTGTTTTAAGGAATGAGCTGCTAACACGATAAAGTGAACCCTCTGGAGAGCTGAATTTTAAAAGCATTTTCAAGTATCAAGAATAATTGACCTCCATTTGATTGATTTTTCCAACTTAAACAGAACTTATGAGGCGATAAACCTCTAGTGAGCGGCCCAGAGCTTTGTATATTTTTCTGTGTGTGGCCGTCGGTGAAAAAAGTTTGGACACCCGTGATTGAAGGGGTCTCCCTGCCCCCCAGATTATATAACAGTTGATCATAGAGCTGCAACCATTAGACGACTAACACACAGATTTATATAAGTATTATCACCGCAATAAACCGGATTACATTTTGTACATATCCCATATTCTATTGACATGTACATAGACTTCTTGCACTACTTTTCATTTAGTATTTGAGTATACATGTTGCATTGTTGGAGGAGCTCAGGTCAGAAGACTGTCTACTCTGAAGCATCTGATGATACAACCTTTGAATCTTTGAATTGAGAAGAAGAGATGTTTTGTTTAAAAAGTTTATTTAAAAATAAAATGACACCAAACAATTAATTTATTGGTAGCCAAGTATCCCCTTGATGAACCGCTAGATTATTTAAAATCATTCCTATTTCCTCATTTCTCTGTTTATTTCTAATAAGGTTGATATCTGTTGGTTTCTGACTGACAAAAGGGATGCAACTCCCCCTTCATTTCATCATCAGTGACCTATTGGTGAGAAAATGATGCATCTCAGTTTCTCCAAGTCTGTAGATGTTTTTACATTTCAAATGTTTTTGTGTAAAACATGTGTTTTCAGCCCATTATCTGTTTTATATCATATCACATGAATATCTTTGGGTTTTTCACTGACAGAACAAGACATTTAGCAAAAGATTTGATAGCAAATGATCCCCTAGATTATTAAAAATAATTCCTTTTTCCAGCTGTAGATAAAAGTGACTTTTATGTCCTTTTTTAATCACTTCTTCTTTATCAGCTGCTGAGTTTCTGTCAGATCTCAGTCTGATGCCTCCCACAGAGTTTCCTTGTACAGATCAGTCACTTCTGAAATGAATCCCACTCCCAGCACCACAGGGGGGAGAAAGGGGGGGGGGCACTGCATTCCCCAAAACCCCCTCAAACCCCCCCAAATCAGGACAGAGGACACATCTCCTCCTCCACATCCACTGATGCTCTGCTAAAGGTCAGAAAGTAGCAGAGATGTTAAAGTACACACATCCTTTCCTCAAGTAGAAGTACAGATACTCGTGTTTATAAAAGTACTGACTAAACTTCTTTACTCAAGTAAAAGTAAAGAGGCTTCGAAATGTACTTAAGTAAAAAGATAGTTAGTCCACAACGTTATCGATGAATGACGTCCCTGTGAGACTGAGCTTCTCCACAGCGAGTCTCGCAGAAAGCATCTCTTTAAATCTTGGAGTTCACAAATCTTAGTGGACAAAAACCTAAACAACCGCTGAGTTGACGTCTCGACAAATACTAATATGTTATCAACCAATTAGATCAGTTAATGTAATCGACTAATGGGAGTTCCTCCATAGAGAATCTTGTTTTGATCAGAGAAGCACCTCCAGACTACTTATTGGACTTAAGGAATCTTATTCAGCGTAGACCAAAACCACCCTTTAGTATCTTTAAAGCAGTTTCTCCACACAGACATCTGGCTTGTATCAAAGATGTGTTCATAGGTTTCTTCAGCATTCAAATAAAACTATTTGACCAACAAATCTTAATTGACTTTGACCGAAACGTCCAAAGAGGAGGCAGCAGTACTCTGTAGTTTAAAATAAGCATTTCCAAGGTTTCTCTCTATAAAAACAGTGTGTGGTTTTGATCTGACTCCACCTGCACCGAGTCTGGATCTGACTCCACCTGCACCGAGTCTGGATCTGACTCCACCTGCACCGAGTCTGGATCTGACTCCACCTGCACTGAGTCTGGATCTGATCAGAAGTTGGCAAAGGAAGCAGCTCAAAGTAACTCACTGTGTTTTATATACTGTGTGGGAAATCATATGAAGGGACAACTATAACTTACAGCTCATTTCCAGATGAATAAGTCAATAGTTTGGTGAAAGCAAAGTCAGGAAATAGTTTGAAAAGTCCGTCAAAGTTCCTGAAACTCCAAAGATGTCCAAAGATATTCACTTTACTATAATTTAAAACAAATAAAAGCAGCATTTTCTGACATATTTGCATAAAAACTACTTAAACGATGAATGCATTATATAAAAAAATAGATGATGTCTCAGCTTCAGTATCCAGCAGAAGCCTGAGTATGAAATACAGATGTCCTTGCATTAGCTTCCCTGATGAATTTCAGTTGTTTTAGGAGTTTTAAGGTGAAGTACAACAACTGGACTGTAACTTGGAAGCAAACAGTGCATGTAGAGAGTGAAAACCACGTGAGAGAATGTTCATTTTAACAGAAAACAAGGTCTAAAACCATTAGATTTAGAGGTTTATGTGCATTATTGTCTCAGTGTCTTCCTCTCAGACCCCAGACTGTGAGGATTAAACTCCTCTGGCTGTTCTGAACTAAAGCTCACACATGCCTGCTTTCACAATTTCACCCCATCAGTCTGATAGATCAATCCCTCCATCCCAGAGAGACCAGAACATCTCCCAGTATGAGAATAAAGTGCTCCCACTTGGTGCTGCAGCCTCACGCAGTTTGCATACTAAACAGCAGCCTGGGATTGTTTGTCCCGGAGCTTTTTGGGCTTCTTTTAACCCCAGAAATGTGCTTTTAACTCACCGAGAGGAACTCCAGGGTTTGCACATAGTCCCGCTCCGTGTGCAGCAGCTCGCTGAGGACGCACACCCGGAGCCGGAGCTGCTTCTCCGGGCTTTCCTCCGTCATTGTGAGGAGGTTCATGCAACAAATAATAATCCTGTAATATGTATTAAATCCTGCAGAAGAAAGTTTCCCCTCAGCCTTCAGAGGAGGAAGATGTGCAGCATGGTCCGGTGTCTGCAGGAAGTGGAATTTAAATAAATAAAAGTCCACAGAAGAGAGAAGAGTGGGCAACAAGTGCACAGAAAGTTATTTCCATGTAACTAAAGTCTGCATCCTCGATCCTGCCTCCACAGATTCACTGCAGAGGATAGATGTCAAGCTGCTAGTGTGTAAACAAGGCAACTTCCGGGTGTGGATTTCAGAATGAAAGAGCAGCAACAGGTTTGACAACTAAAACACAAACTAACTTATACTAACTAACTGTTTATATGATCAAAAAGAGTATTTACAATCTAGTAGCATTACTGGTGGAGACAACAGGCAGTAAGAGAGTGATAAACTGCCTGAATTAATAGTCCATATGACTTGGTTTTTATTTATTATCTTATTTTGAAGGAGCAATTTCTTGGATTTTTGTCTTTCTTTCCTGAAATTTTCACAAACTCCATTTCTTTTATTTAAAATATGTTAAAATTATAATAAATAATACATTTAATTTAAAAAAGGTTTTAATAAAATTGGATAAAGATAGGATTTAAAAAAATGCTAAATGTACATGTTATAAAAAGTGTAAACAAAGTGACTTCCGGCTGCGGTTTTCAGAATAAAAGAGCAGCAACAGGTTTGAAAACAACATGATTCATAATAGAGTATACTTTGATTGAATACAAGCAGGACATTAATAATTAACCTGCTGAAATGATGCTTTATATTACTTTTAATTGATATATTACTTTTATTTTAAAGGAACAACACCTGAAATGTCCTAAATGCAAAACATAAACAATTAATAAATGAGATGTTATTGAGCATTTGGTTTACCTGAGGAGCTCCAGAGCAGTACATATTGTAGAAATTAATTCAAAATGCCACCTTGACCCTGTAAGCTACACTTAGAGTATTTAGGTGGTTTTAATTGAGATAAATATCTTCCTCCACATTGACCAAGATGCAGTGTCACTACAAAAGTAAACCATGAATGGAGTAATGCTGCTTCACTATAATCGCTTTCTGTCTCCACATAATAAAGCACACAGCAGTCGGTTAACGAAGAGCAGTCAGAAAGCTCTGATTGGATCATTAAGCTTTAAAATAACTCAATGTTTTACACGCTCTGCAAAGCCATCAGTTCTTCAGATGAGGTGTGTGTGTGTGTGTGTGTGTGTGTGTGTGTGTGTGTGTGTGTGTGTGTGTGTGTGTGTGTGTGTGTGTGTGTGTGTGTGTGTGTGTGTGTGTGTGTGTGTGTAGGGCTGAAATAATGTAATTGCGATTTTTCTGACAGATATTGCGATTGCGATTCAATTTGCGATATATATATATATAATCTAAAAGGCTCAGTTTTGTGAGATGAGGACAGGTAAATGTTGACATATAGTGCCCTCTGGTGGAATGTGGTGGTACTGCATGCTCCAGGTATTATATTGTAATGTGTGTTTGCTGCCAGCAGGGGGCGCTACACTTCCAGATGTCATTGTGCATCCTCTGCTGGAGGCCTTCATGCAGATGTAACACACATTAACACAACTTCTGTCTTTATTGAACTGTGATGCTGTGATGAAGGGTTACAGTCTAGATTTGAGAATAAAGTTTAATCGTATGGTATAAAATGGAGGAAATGCAGCAAACTCACTTTATGGAAGGTAGGATAACGTTCTCTAAAAACATTCTTAACATTTTTGGTGATAACTTTCTTAAGATGTATGAGTGCATTGAGACAATGAATAGGACGTATAAAAACGAATTTGCAGGCAATATTCACTCACATACACTTATAATCACACTAAGGTATGTAGGCCCACAGTATTCATAATATCATGTGTAAAATATCAGAAAATAATCACACTTTTTTCTGACTATAAAGGTTGTGTCTCGTATGTAGGTTCTAACTGTTAGATAAGCTATCTGGCCGTGTGTGGTTTGTGAGGGCTGCGTATAAACAGTGTCCGCTGTTTATGCATATTGGATACAAATCGTTATTGCACCCTTTAGATTTGATATAGGCCCGTTCTTATTTCATCAAATCCCCCTCCTCGACTCCTCGACTCCTCGGTCCTCCGGTAGTTAACCGGAAATTAATTTTAGCGCGCCATGTTGAAGGACATCTAATTTCTCTAAATGCACATCGAGGACCGAGTATCGAGCGTCGAGGAGGCTCTCTGGAGGAGCTATAACCGAGGATACACTGATGGGTCCTCCACAGTCCTCCACGGCTCCTTCGTGGATGCATTTCCGGGAACAGAGATGTTTCAAAGAGTCGAGACGCACGGCCGGACTGATCTCAGCCAATCACAGCTCTGCATGCATCCCCTGGATATTATTTTATTAACTACTTTCATCGCGACACGATGTTTACAGTGAGAACAGCTGTGAGGTCCGTGCAGAAAGCAGAGCAGTGTGTATAATATATATCACTCAGTATAACAGGCCTACTCTCTTTATTTGCTTTAGTTTAGTAGATATCTACAAACAAAGTCGATATTTTTCTAAAACCATTTAGTGCTTCACATAATAAAATACACAACAGCTGTAGCCTGATGATTATGCTTTAGGAGCTGTAGGTGCGTGTGTGTGGTGTAGGTGTGTGTGGTGCAGTGTGTGCGTAGATGCAGCGGACAGACAGGTCTCAGTTGGTTTGAGGCCTGTACTACGAAGCCGGATTTTCTCTTAGCCGGCTGACTTCAGGGAAAACTCGGGCTTTCCGGTCCTACGACGCTGGTTCTCTTTTTAGCGTGCTAGATCTCCATGGTAACTTATGCTGAGCGTTGCAGGCTGATCAACTCAGTGAAAGCACTGCCTGCTGACCAATCAGAGCTCCGTGTGCGGAGTTTAAAGCAATCAAGTCATATTACAGGATAGAGGAAATACAGAAAAACTGCCGTTGCAGGAAAGACGGCCGGCAAAAATCAACTGACTGTGTGAACGTGAAAATTAATAGAATATCCCCTCCCACCTTCAGAGCAATCTGACTATTATAACATTAGCGTTAAGAAAGCTTACTTAAATATCTGCCACAACATAAGTAACCGGATCAGAGTAACATTACGTACAGTCCGCGGCACTGTGAGTGCAGACGTCGATGTGTCCCATTATCATTCATATCATATCACATCATAATGTATCATATATTTCCTTATCTGAGTCAGCTGAGCCGTATCTGGCCGTGCAACACTCACAGTGTCACATACTGGATGCAGAAGTATTATTTTAAGCAACACATTAAGTTGACGAAACACTGGAGTCAAATGTAATTAAAGTCAGATCGTGTCTTAGACGGGGCAGTGATATCATAAACCTGTTAATGTACGCATTCAAACACTTTCTCTGTTACCAGCTGTATTCACCTTGCAGGTGCAGCTATGTGGCTTTGATCCTGGATAAAGTGTTTAAGTCATGGATGTTTAAAGTTCAACTTCTTCATATTTGACTAATATTAAAGTTCACTTTTCATTCAGGAAGTATGACGCTGCGCTGTCAGTACGCTTGTCCATGTTTGTGATTGGTCGAATGCTCCAAATACCACCCCTTTCATGTGAACGCGCACCTAACTAGATAGGACACGGCTGGCTTGAGCGATCCACTTGATAACCAGCGTCGTAGTACAGTTTAGCGAGAGCGCGTATGTTTTGGATTGGGCCAACCGGCTAACTCAAACATATCCAGGTTAGGACAATCCGGCTTCGTAGTACAGGCCTCTGGTGTCCTCTGCTTACTTGTAATACTTGTTTGATTCTGAAATTGTATATATTTATATAAATATATGCATATGTGTGTGTGTGTGTGTGTGTGTGTGTGTGTGTGTGTGTGTGTGTGTGTGTGTGTGTGTGTGTGTATGTGTGTGTGTGTGTGTGTGTGTGTGTGTGTGTGTGTGTGTATGTGTGTGTATGTGGTGTGTGTGTGTCCGCATCTGTAGCCTGTTATTGTCTCATTATACCGCACTGTGAATGAATCAAAGTAAATATATAAGTGGTCATGAACACATCTGTCCATCAGACAGAGGGCTGCTGTGCCTCCTGTCATCATTAATGGACGTCTCTTTAAAATGACCGCTCAGAGGAGAGGAGTTCTCATTTCTCTAACCGCCTGCTGCTTCCCCTCCTCTCTCCTCGGCTCCCCTCCTCCGCTCGCATCTCCTGTGGGCGGGACTAAGTCTCGAGGATAGGAGTCGAGGAGGGGAATTTGATGAAATGAGAACGGGCCATAGAGGAACGGACCGACTGTCACTGCCCGTCCCTGAAACCCCTGTTAGTGTTTGCATGTGTTTGTTTCTACTGTGTGTCTCTCTCTCCCCCCCCCCCCCCCTGCCTGCTGGTCTGCTCTACATGGCTGGGAGCAATCTCCAATCAACCACACCTGCAACCTGCTCATCAGCCACACTATGAAAGCCTGCAGCCTGCTCTCATTCCCTGCTGGATTGTTGCGTGCCGCTCTGGCTTTTTGCCAGCATATTCTTTGACAACTTTGCCTGCTTTTGCCTCACACTCATTGTTATGTCTCTCCCAGGAGGAATCCAAGGCCTTCCACACTCCCAAGACCAGCCAGGCCTCTCTACCCACTCTGGAACAACTGTTTCCCACTGCCGCCATAACCAACCTCCACTCCCAGCTCCCCTTTTCTAATAAACAAATGTTACTTTCACCAGCTGATTCCGAGTCTGATTCTGGGTCCCCTCCAGTACATGTGAAGGCCCGGACACACCAGCCCGATTTTGGGAGTCAGAGGCCGTCAGAGGCAGTCGGGCATTCGAGGCACCCTACTCAGGTTTGTGTGTCCCGCACCGTCGTCTCTTTACGGCACCTTTTCACACCTCCCGACGCCTCACGTGGCCCGGGAGGTCAGAGAAAGTCGGGACAAGCAATCGCTCTGATTGGCTGTTCACACTACCGCTGCCTGCCGCTACCTAAAATCACCAGAAGTCATAATTTAAGGGGTTTAATGTTTACCGCCCTAGTATTGTTTGGTCACCATTTCCACAGCCCAACCTAAAATATTTTCCACCAACCGCCACTGCTATTAAGAGTTACATAAAAACAGTCACGACTTGTTAGACCGGTTCTGACACGCCCGGCATTTTTCTCT